GCGTGGCCCTAGCGGCTCCAGCCCTGGGGTCGCGTCGGCCCCTCCAGTCACCCTTCAAGGGTGACGGACGTCAGCGTACAGGGTCCCGCACTACGCTAGGCCACCATTTGGACAGGCGTACCGAGGACCTCGCCTCTGTCTCGAGGCCCTCGGCTGCTGGCACTGAGCAGCCACCCCTCACTGACCGCGAAACCGAGCTGTCACAGGCTATGGCTGCTCTCCAGCAGAGGTGCTTAGCTCTCGCCGCGGACCTCGCCGCCGCCCAAGCTCGTCAAGGCCCTCTACTCCAGCGCCTCCACAGCGCTGGGCGAGCCTTTGCCGAGCTGCTCACGGCCTCGCCCGATGGTGCCGTGCCGTCACTCACCATCCAAGCTATGCTGTCATCGTTCCGCGGCGCTCCACCTGGTGCCCCGCGCTAATCTCCTCCTTTCTGCCTGCCCGTGTGTACGCGTGGCTCCGCGTCCACGGTGTCAGGGCGTGGGGGCGGGGGGTGCCCCGTCACTGCGCGCCGCTTAGCGGCCAAGCGCCCAACTGGCGGTCTGCCAAGCCGCCTAGCCACGTGTCAGCACGTCGCCTTTCTTGTTGGGGCCTTTTTCCTCACGCGGTCTGACAGGTGAGATCATCATCGTCTGTCCGCCGTCTGTAGCGTCTGTCGCACTGCGCCGGGGGAGGGGGTTTTTTGTTGCCCGCCCTCGTATCTAAAGGCTGCACCGCCGCAAATAGTGCATGCGAGTTGTCGCACCGCAGTGCGCCTCGCGGACGGACCCTGGTCCGCCTACTTGTCCGATCTCTCTCTCTCTCTCTCTCTCTCTCTCTCTCTCTCTCTCTCTCTCTCTCTCTCTCCATCTCTCTCTCTCATCTCTTCTCGTCTGGCAGCGCCTGCGGCGATTTGAGAGTCAACGCGCTCTTCTTCGGCCTGGAATAGCGATGATATGACGATTTGTTCGGCCGCCCCCTGAACCCCCCGCTTCTCTTCCCCCCCCCCGCGCGAGGCGCCGCTGAGCCACGCTGGCAGGCCCAGCCATGTCTGCCTCCGCTTGGAATATACGTCTCCGGGCATATTCTGATATAGCGGTCTCTTCCTGCTCAGCCTGGCGCGCCATTGCTCTCTTCTCAGCGTTACTTTTGCGGGCAATGGCGAGCTTTTCTGCGTCGGATTCTGCGAGCCGGCGGTTAACTTCGCTAATGGCCGTCTTATCCACTTGCGCCTGAAGTAGGACCTGTTGCATTCGCACGCCCGGTGCCCTCAACTGCTCTCGATGTTGTCGCTGATGTTCCCCCCATTCTCTGATAGCAATAGATCGACAATTGTTCTCTGCTAACGCACTGCAGTCCTAGTAGAACCACTATGTGCTAAACTTTGGGAACACTTGAGAGCACTGAACACGCGCGGGGCGGCCGCGGGCCCCCCCCCCCGTTCGCGCGCCCCCCCCCCGGGCAGCGATTCTCCGCCTGGGCCGGTCAACCGGACCCACATTCCAGCAAGTTTCCCGGGTGGAGAAGCCACTCGCGGTCCGATTAGACGATGGGCGCAGGGACGCAAGGGCGCCAAATTTTCTGGAGCTAGAACGTCTCGCTCTCGGGGCCTTTTTCCCGACCCATGCTCGATGTCGGCGTTTTCTGTCCTTTCGCTCTTGACCCCGCGTTCCTTTGCGAATTGTGCAGCTCGCCCTCTTGGTCTTTCTCATCTTGCATAATAAATTCAATAAGTTCTGGCGCGCGCTCATGGTCCATTCTCGGTGGCACGAGGCCTTCAGTTGGTTGACCTACTGACGTTCCAAGGCTTCGTTGATGGAATTCTTCTGTCAGCGGCGGAGGATTGAGGTCATCGGTTTCGCTCTTGGCATTCTTTATCATCGGCAGTGGGGTCACGCCAGTAGGTCCCCTCGCGCGCCGGGCCAGACGCGGGGCGTCGGCTGGAGGCTCCGTCGGCTGAGCCGAGGAGCTCCCTCTTGCGCGACCCAGCGCCCCGTCTCCGGAGGTCCTTACGTCGTCAAATTCATCTCCAGAATCAAGGACAGCCCTTCGGAGGGCGTCTGTCGGCTCGCAACCAATCGTCTCTGCATCCGATTGGCCACCGCCTGAGACGCGGCAGCTGGGCGAGTTCTGAAGAGGATTCGGGTGATTTGAAGGTCCAGGGGGCATGCGAAAGTTAGCATATCCCTCATCCTTTTCAAGTGGACGCAGACTTTCTTCCCCCGACTGCCCGTCGCTCTCTTCTCCACCCTGCCCGTCCATTACGAACTGTGCTATCTTTCCGTCGAGGAAGTGGCCCCCGCCTGCTGAAGCGGTGGGGGTATTTCCCGGCGGGCTCTCTTCGTCGTAGTTTGCACGGACAGATACTATCGGGATCGAGTGCACTGACGTGATCTCTGATGGCCTTCTATGGGCAGCACTGGCTGGGCCAGTGCCCCCTGCCTGGCGTTTGAACTCTTTCAGCTGATGATCTACAGGGGAATCTCCCTCTGTCAAATCAAACGCCGACTCTGATACTGGCCTTCTGGGACGATTGAGAGGAGGAGGTCGCCCCCCCGGGGCGCCGTCCTTAGTAATGCGCTCGGGGCAAGTATGTCGCTTCACCCCTCCGAGCGATCCTTCGTTTGGTCCTAGGCCCAGCGAAACCAACGGCTTAGCCGTCGTTTCGGCTGAAACCAGCTTTTGGCCTGGATATGAGCTATCCCTGCAAAATGTTCCGATGTGGTCTCGTGTTCCCCTGAAGGTAGGCTTCGCAAGGAAAACTCAACGGGCTTCGACGAAGCCATGGCTTGGAAGCAATGTTCCGTTAAGCGGATAAGAAAATATGAGTGGTAGGGAAGAGGCCGGCCGGCCGACGACACGACGACGACGACAGGACGACCCCACGGCGCGCGCGCAAGCCAGCACGCTCTTATTTCCTACGCCTCTCGAATCTGAGTGGCTGCAGGTAACCAGTCAGTACGACAGTAACAATAGCAATGGCGGCAAGATGGTGGTGCGGACAGGAGCATATTTACTGAACCACAAAACAGCCCACGAGGTCTCCCCAGATGGCTCCCGAAGTTCCCGCGCACGCCCCAAGAGGGGAAACTCGACCCAACATATCGAGCCTTGCCCGAAAGTTCGCCCCCACGGCAGCCGTAAGGCGCCCAGGAAACCCTCAAGATGGCCCAAGCTGGTCCCAACACGGTCCGACAAGCGCCCAAGACGCCCCAGAAGCTTCTCATAGGACTTCGAGACGCCCTGAAGACACTAGAATTATTTATTTCGCTGGGTGTGTCGGACGATTTTGGCGGTACCACCTTTTCGGGCTGCCGACCGCCCTGGACGGTCCACGAGGCCACCAAGATCGCCCGAAGACAACCCCAGACACTCCCAGACGGGCCTGATTTTTTTTTTGCTGGGACAATCCTGCACTCCGTCAAGCCTCCTGGAGACCTTTCCCAATCCTCTCAAATTGTCTGAGCGCGTTTCGAAACTCTGCTGCAGCTCTTTTGAATCGTCTTGAAGCACCACCAACCACCAGTGATGCGAAATGGACCAGCGGAATTCGGGCGAAGAGAACTATGCACATGCACCGATCCTGGCAAGGCCCATCCTTGACCCAGGATTGGTGCATATGCCTTCCTGGCCAAGGTAGGAGGGCGTATGCACCGATCCTGGGCTCAGGATGGGCGTGGCGAATCGATGTATGTGCATAGTTCTTTTTCCTTTACGAATGAGCGAATCAATGGAATCATGAGAACGTCGTTTTGTGGGGCCGAAGAAATCGGCGGAGTGTCCCTTCCCGTGGGCCGGCAGCTCAACCTCGTAGCCCGGGCGGGCCTCCGCGCCCCGAAGACGGCGCACCTGCAGACACCTCGACCGAGTCTTCGCGACGCCGACTTCGCGTGCCTCGCTCTGCTTCCAACCTGCGTCAAGCTATCGGCATGGTGTCCGTCGGCTGGCCGGACACTCGCCGCCAAGGGTAGCTGCTGCTGCTGCTGCCAGCGTGCAGCGCAGCTGCTCCCTCCCAGACCTCGCTTCGCTCCGCTCCAGCACGACCGCGGTATCTCTGCCAGTGCAGCTGGGTATTGCGTCATACGCCCAACTCCCGCTCCTACCTTTGCCAATACCCCCGCGCTCACTGCCACCACGGTATCAGCCAGAATCGACCAACCAACAGCAGCCACTCGAGCACCGACTCAAGACTGTACGGCTTAGGAACTGTTGCTTAGCGTGACGCTGCGGCGGCCTGTGCGACACGTTCTTCCTCGCAAGCTGATAGCGTGTGGCTCTGCTTCGCGGCACCGGTGGGAAAAGCTGGGAACTTTTATGATTGGGGACTGGGGCACGCTTGCGGTCTCGTTCCGAAGCGTGGTGGACCAGAACCAGTGGCGCGGACACCTGGACCGAAGCGCGCTCAGCAAACATTCTGGACAGCACCTCCCAACAGCTTACCACGGCGACTACAAGACCTTCGCGGCCGTGCGGAACTCAGACCCTGCCCTGCGCGAAGGCCTCCGCGCCTCCCACGCGTCGACTTCATGCGCCACGCTCTCTGCGCCACGCCAGCTAGCAGCCAGCTACGATCCCATGGCAAGGAAACAGGCCTGAGCTGCATCAAATCGCGAAGTCTGATCGGAAACCGATCGGATCGCTAGCGAATCTTCCGAATCGAATCGAAATCGGATCCCCGCGCCGAGCTCTGGCTAGCCGCAGCCGATGCTGGCGAATCAAATCGAATCGAATACAATCGGAACCGCGGCCCCAATTGGCGAATCGAATCGCATCGAATCGGATCGTCCCACCGCTACACCTCCACCTAGTGTGCCCTTTGAGCTCGCCCGAGGGGATCCGTGGGCCCGCAAGGGCCACTCTGGCGAATGGTGACTCTAGCACGCAGCTGGCTAAATGGCTCCCTCGGCCACCTCGCCTGTCCAGCATATGGGAAACGGGGGGGGGCGCGGTTGCTGCCGTAAGCAGATCGACGAAACCCACACTGCGGAGACCCGTCGAGAAGTGACGGGTTCGCCCTCCGCGCTCTAAGTGACACGCTGAGGCCGAACAAGAGGATCCAGGTCTGGGTAAAACAAATTAAACAGTAGCGGCCGGCCGAGTGCATGACCGATACCGCACGGCTCGATCTTGGGGCACTTCCAATTGTAGAGGTAGTACTGCAAAAAGCCGTCCCCAATGCCGAACTTGAGCTCCTACGAGGGGTGCTAGGAGGATGCAGAAGCGGAGGAGGAGAAAGGGATGAGGAGGCATGAAGGAGAAGGGAGGAAGGAGACGAACAATAGTGACCCAAGTAGCGCGCCAGATGCTCGAGCTTGATGAGAGCACGACTGGGCAACCCAGCACCGAGAGCAGGGGGAGCGTTCACTCAAGGCATGACCCTCAAAGCCCCCCCGTTGCAAAGTCCGAACGTTTAGCCGCGAAGCTACCGGCAGCGGGCGAAAGCACGATGGAAAGACCAGAGCCGCGCAAGGGGGGGGCATGAACGCTGGGCTGGGCAAGTAGGGCGGCCTTCTAAGGAGGCAGAGGGAACGGACCCTTCTCAGAAGGCCTCTCGAAGGCCTCTCAGAAGGCCGCTCAGAAGGCATTCGGGGTTTCTGGGAGGCGGGGGGGCCTTCTTGGAGGCCCCCCTTGCCACGCTCCCGACTGATATGCTCAGAACCAAGCCCCTGCTTCCGAGTGGTCGGTCTCCGTCCAACCTTGGATACGAGGGCGCTCCCGAAAACAAAGAATATGCAAGAACGTCTGACAACCTGTCCTCGATCCTCGAACCTCACGATACTGAAGGCCCAGGGCCGTCGAACTCATGACCCTCGCCAACCCTGCCCCGACCCCATGTACCATCCGCCTGCGGGTCCCCCTCGCTATCTCCTTCAGGAACTGGTCGTTCTCCATGACGTTCAAGGCGTTGAAGACATCAAAATACGCCGATCCCACACGCAGGCATCAGGAAGGCGATGGGTAGTTCCCACCAAAACAACCACCACCACCATTTCATCATCATCATCAGCAGCAGCATCAGCAGCATCATCATCATCATCAGCAGCATCATCAGAATCATCACCATCATCATCGGAGGCGGCGGCGTCGTCATGAGCACCATCATCCCAACAACAACAACAACAACAACACCAACAATAACCAACAGCAACAACAACAAGAAACCAGCGACGCCTCCTGGCGCCGGCGATTATTCCGTCTATCCGAGGCAGATTCTAATTGGATTCCTACTGGAACCTGTATATTGGATACACGGGGAAATCGCACTCGATGCTCGATTACTCCGTGTACCGGATACGCGGAGCAATCGAACTCGATTACTCCGTGTATCGGATACACGGAGGAATCGCACTCCTTTACTCCGTGTATCGGATACACGGGGTAATCGACTTCGATTACTCCATGTATCCGAGGCAGATTCTAATTGGATTCCAATTGGATACTGTATATTGGGTACACGGAATAATCGCACTCGAATACTCCGTAAAACCGATACACGGAATAATCGAATTCGATGGTTCCTTCCGTGTACCCGATACACGGAATAATCGAGTTCGATTGCTCCGTGTATCCGAGGCAGTTTCTAACTGGATTCCAATTGGAACCTGTATATTGGGTACACGGAGTAATCGCACTCGAGTACTCCGAAAAACCGACGCACGGAGTAATAGAACTCGATTCCTCCGTGTATCCGAAGCAGATTCGATTTGGATTCCTGTTGGAAACTATATATTGGATACACGGAGTAATCGCACTCGATTACTCCGTGTATCGAATACAAGGAGTAATCGAACTCGATTAACGTGTATCCGAGGCAGAGTCGAATTGGATTCCTGCTGGAAGCTGAATATTGGATACACGGAGTGGTACTTTTGGTCGCTCGCGGGCTCTGGTTTTCAGAGAAAAAATTGGCGTCGCCAAACATAGTCCTTTTATCATGGGATTTTGTTCAAAAAATTGGGCGAACCCGGCTCTGAAGGGGCGGGCCACATTTAAGCGCTCGCGCGATCCGGTTCCTCGGTGTCGGATACACGGAGTAATCGCGCACGATTACTCCGTGTATCCAATACACGGAAAAATCGCAGTCGACTACTCCGTGTATACGAGGCTGATTCGACTTGGATTCCTGTTGGAACCTGTCTGACACACGGAGTAATCGCACTCGATTACTCCGTGTATCCGATACACGGAGCAATCGAACTCGATTACTCCGTGTATCCGAAGCAGATTCCAATCGCATTCCAATTGGAACCTGTGTATTGGATACACGGAATAATCGCACTCGATTACTCCGTACATCCGAAGCAAATTCTAAACTGGTTCCTAATGGAACCTGTATATCGGACACACGGAAAAATCGCACTCGAGTACTTTACTCCGTGTACCCGAGGCAGGTTCGAATTGCATTGTTATTGGAAGCTGTATCTGGGATACACGGAGTAATCGCACTCGATTGCTCCGAATACCGGATACACGGAATAATCGAGTTCGATTACTCCGTGTACCCGAAGCAGATTCGAATTGGATTCCTGTTGGGAGCTGTATATTGGATACACGGAATAGTCCCACTCGATTACTCCGTGAATCGAATACAAGGAGTAACCGAACTCGATTACTCCGTGTATCCGAAGCATTTCCTAATTGGATTCCTATTGGAAGCTGTATATTGGATACACGGAGTAATCGCACTCGCTCGATTACTCTGTGTACCGGATACAAGGAGTAATCGAGTTCGATTATTCCGTGTATCCGATACACGGATTAATACGCTTGGTCGCTCGCGGGCCCTGGTTTTCACGAAAAATTGGCGTCGCGAAACATGGTCATTTGTCACGGGATCTTGCTGACAAAATTGGGCGAACCTGGCTCTGAAGGGGTGAGCCACTGTTGGGCGCTCGCGGGATCCGATTACTCCGCGTATCGGATTCACGGAGTAGTCGGATGCGATTACTGTGTGCATCGGATACACGGAATAATCGAAAGCGATTACCACGTGTATCCGAAGCTGATTATAAGTGGATTCCTAATGGAACCTGTATATTGGATACACGGGGGAATCGCATTCTACTATTCCGTGTATCGGATACACAGAACAATCGAATTCGATATCTCCGTGTATCGGACACACGAAATCATCAAACTCGATTACTCCATGTATCCAAAGCAAATTATAATAGGATTCCTGGTGGAGTCTATATATATTTATATATGTATATATATATATATATATATATATATGTTGGATACACTGGGTAATCGCATTCGCATACTCCGTGTACCGGATACACGAAGCAATCGAACTCGATTACTCCGTGTATCAGAGGCAAAGTATAATGGGATTCCGAGTGGAACCTGTATATTCGATACACGGAGTAATCGCACTCGATTGCTCCGAGTATCCGATACACGGAGTGGTACTTTTGGGCGCTCGCGGGCTCAAACGTTCGGAAAAATTGGCGCCGCCAAAATCTTCATTTTATCATTGGATTTTGTTTGAAAAATTGGGCGAACCTGGCTCTGAGGGGGTGGACCACTTTTGGGCGCTCGCGGGATCCGATTACTCCGTGTATCGGATACACGGAATAATCGCACTCGACTACTCCGTGTATCGGATACACGGAGTAATCGAGTTCATTTACACCGTGCATCCGAGGCAGATTCTGATCGGATTCCTACTGGAACCTGTATTCGAAGCAGATTTGGGGTAGATTCCTTTTTGAAACGGTTTCAAAAAAAGAATATACCCCAAATATTGGATACATGGAGCAGTCGCACTCAATTACTCCGTGTACCGTATACACGGAGCAATCGAGCTCGATTACTCCGTGTAACCGAGGCAGATTACAATTGGATTCCTATTTGAACCTGTATAATGAAGTCACGGAGTAATCGCACACGATTACTCAGTGAATCCGATACACGGAGTAATCAAACTCGATTACTCCGTGCATCCGAGGCAGACTCTAAATGGAATCCGATTGGAACCTACACTTTGGATACATGGAAAAATGGCACTCGATTGCTCCGTGTATCGGATACACGGAGTAATCGAATTCGACGACTCCGCGTATCGGATGCACGGAGTATTCGACGACTCCGTGTACCCGGGGCAGATTCGAATTGGAACCTGTATACTGGATACACGAAATAATCGCACTCCATTGCTTCGTGTATAGGATCCACGGGATAATCGAACTCGATTACACCGCCCACGTGCGCTCGCAGAAGACGACGTTTCGACCCTGAAACTTTGTCTCCACTTCCTCCTTGAGCTCCCCCCACTGCTTGCCCGGCACGCGCTCATCCCTCGTGGAAATGGGGCCGGGGCCCATCCAAGTCTTCCTCCCTCCATGGCCGTCGAGGAGCGCCTGCTTGACGGCGTTCGCGGTCTTCTGACCCACCTCCACCGTGCTGAACTTGACCTCCACGAGGCTTCCATACGCGTACGGGGCCTTTAGGTCCATGGGGCTGTCGGTGCCCAGGCTCCTCAGGATCTCCCGCGCACGCTGCTCGAGCTCGGGCACCTTCGTGTTCCAGCCGGGATTGGTCATGACAAAAACGTCGCGCTCCCCACGCGGGACGCCAGCCCATGGAGGTAGCCTACGTGCCTGGCGCGCATCTCCACCAGCGTCTGGGGGCGCCCGCACCTTCTTCATGCCCTCGATCTCCGCCTGCAGCACCGTTGTGGTTGTTGGCGACACGGTGCCTGTGCCGCGGACGCCCTCGGCCGGAGGCCGAGAAAGTAGGTAGAGGTGCAGAAAATGCCGGCCAGACGTCGCCTTAAGCAACATCTTGCTGGAGACAGAAGAAGTGGTGAAGGACCACAGCCAAAAAGAGTCACCAACTCAGCCTAGCCAGCTCGCTTCCGAGTCTGGCGGAGAAAGGGAGGGGAGGAGGTGGGACGAAGCCGGCGCCGAGACCTCTCCGGTAAGGACTCCACCCTCCGCCGGGGGCGGCGGCTGGGCGGCGGGAAAGCGGGAGAGAGCTCCCGCGGTCGGCTCTGCAGCGTTCAAGGCGCCGCACCACACACCTCCGCACCACCAACCGGGGGAAGGGGCGGGGGAAGATCGTCATCGGAGTCTTGGTCGTCCAAATGGCCGTCTGGAGCCTCGCCGTCGCCCCCCACCGCCGCGTCCACCTGAGCCGGGCCAGGAGGGGGGCGAGGAAGAGGTGGCGCCCGTCGCCGCTTCGACGGCGGAGCGCTGCCTAGGCCGGCAGCCGCCAGTCGCCTAGCCGCCTGTCCGCGCGGGGCCGGAGCAGTCACGAAGTCCCCGGTAGACGCCTGCAGCACCGTCTGCTCCATCTGCAGGGTGGTCACCGCGGCTTCGAGATCAGCCGTCCGCTTCTCGGTATCGTCCTGCCTTCCCTCCGCCTTCCCGATCCTCTCCCCGTGGTCCGATACCATGTTCGAGAACAGGGTCATCTCGGACAGGAGGCCGTCCACATTAGCGTCGAGGGCCGTGAACATCCTCTTCATGAATGCCCGGTCGCTCTCCTCCGTCTCCTCCTCCACCACGGGGGCCCCCCTCGCAGCCGCGCGGCCAGGCGGCCGGACAGCCTCTCCGACCGGTGCCCCAGCCCCGTCGCCTGGCATGGGAGGCCCGGCACCGGGCGCTCCCGCGGCGGGAGCCTCAAGGCCTGGCGGCGCGAATGCGAAACCGCCCGGCGCCCCAGCCCCGGCAGGGGACCCGACGGGCGTAGGCAGCCCCCCAATCCTCTCATCCCCTGAGAGGCACTCCGCGAACTCCCCGCCGTCGTCATCGAGGGCGCCACCACCGTAGATGTCCCGACGTACGTCTGCAGCACCACGGCCATCAACGTCCTCCTCCTTCTGGTCCTCCTCCTCCTCCTCCTCCTCCTCCATGCTCTCGTCCGCAGCCACCCGGCCCTGCTTACGCCTCGCTGCCTCGCCACTCAGTGTCCCAAAGGCTGGCGGGCGACGGCGTCTGGCAGGCCGGAGCGGGGTGGCGGCCGCCCAGGGGTCCGCAGCAGCCAGCGGGTCTTGGATCACCGAGGGCGGCGCTGAGCCAGCGGCCGCGGGAGAGGCCGTGGCAGCCGCTCCAGCTGAGGGTGCTGACCCGGCGCCTGCTGCTGCTGAGGCTGCTGAGGCTGGGCCTGCTCCTGCTCCCTCTGCTGGATGATGCCCTCGACGACCGCCAAGAACTCCCGGAGCTGGTTCCTCAGGAGCCAGAGGGCCGGGAGGTCGAACTGGACCGCTGCGAGCATGTGGCGCGCCCAGTCTGGCAGGTGAGCCCGTCCCATGGGCCCCCCGCGCCTGCCCCGGTGATCGCGGCGGCGCGGGCCACGCGACCGGCTGCGCGCCTGCGCGTCCATCCATGTCCACCCTGGGCGAGACCGCACACAGGGGCTGCACGGACAAAGTCGGGGGCGAGACGCACGCCCGACGCGCGGAGACGGAGAAGCTCCGGGCGAGACGCACACAGGAGCTGGGAACGGTTGGGCTGGGGCGAAACGCACCTCAGGCAGAAGGAGGAGGAGGAGGAGGAGGAGGAGGAGGAGGAGGAGCAGGAGGAGGAGGAGGAGGAAGGTACATCCTCTCCTCACCGACTCCGAGGGGCAGATGCTGCGGCCGAAGGCCGTGAGGCGCGGACTCCGGTGACATCGGCCCCTTCCAGGCCGTGCGGACCGCGCGCCCATGTTTCGGCGGAGGCGGCACGAGCCTCCCGCATCTTGCTGCTTCGCGAGGATGAGCGCGTCGTACAGCAGCTCGTGCAGCGGCACGGTCGTCGCCACGTTCCAATAGGAGTAGGCGGCCTCCAGAGAGAGCAGGCCGGTGCATCTGCCCTCCTCCTCCTCCTCCTCCTCGTCTTCCTTCTCCATTCGTTTTCCTTTAGAGAACTCCTCCCTGTCGCGCCCCGCGGCCGGTCGGTTGACTCGTGGCGTCGAAGTCCCGAGAATGATGTTTGGCACGCTTCAGGATCTTCAAACGATTGTCTCCAAACGGGGCACATCCTTCAGTGAAATTGTGAGTCTTGGGTTTACATCGGTCTTCTTCCTCCTCCTCCTCCTCCTCCTCCTCCTCCTTCTCCTCCCCACCTTCTCTCTCCCTCCTCCTCCTCCTCCTCCTCCTCCTCCTCCTCCTCCTCCTCCTCCTCCTCCTCCTCCTCCTCCTCCTCCTCCTCCTCCTCCTCCTCCCCATCCTCCTCCTGCTCCTCCTCCCCGTCTACTATTTCCAGTGGCACCAGGGCCCATGCCCACTGCACGAATCAGGCGCGCGGGAGCGGGCAGGGGAGGAGGAGGCGGTGCACTCCTGCCCTGCGCGCTCTGGCTCGAGCGCCCTTTTCAGGCCTCGTGTCTCAAGTGCCACTTGTCGAGACAAACACTCGCACGCCCAGTCTGACGAAGTTTGATAACCCATGCGAGGGTGCCATGTGAAGATCCCCATCGGTCAACGTAACGAAGCTTTGGAATTCATAGACCTTCCCCCTCCAGATCCTCATTCCCAAGAAACACACACACACACACAAAACATGAAGTTTCGGAGGTCATTCGGGCATGTGGAATCATGGATCTGGCGCCAGATCCACATATCGGGGAGAGTACATACCCCACGAAGCATGAAGCCAATGCAGTCCGACGTTGCCACTGAGCGCGTCGATGGTATGCGTGGAAGCGGGACCCATCGCTGATCTATACGCCTGAGTTCATATTTGCGCTTCCTCCATTTGAGTTTATACCGGTGCTTCCATCATGTCGTTGTGACGATCACCTACAAAAGTATTCGCTCGCACAGTTTGGAGCACCATGGTACGTCACTGCGTGATGAGACTTGAGGACATGGCGTGCGCAGGCTGAGAGCTCCGCGCAGAGCTTTTGAGACCAACGTTGCATGCCGATTGTCCATCGCTCACACGAGCGTATAACCCTCTGCCCACGCCCGCTTGCGAACCGATTCGATTCGACCGGGCCTTGCTTGCTGGCCGATGTTTTTTCATTTACTCCCGATCCCCCCTCCCTCGTGTCAACGGAAAGGGGGGGATAGCAAGGGGGGGGTCAGCGAATCAGATCACGTGACTGGTTTTCCCAGGGCCACCCAGCGCCAGAGAATCCAATGTATTGAGGCAAGCGCCAAGCGGCGGAGCCGAAACCAGCTGCATGCGGCAGATTTCGTACCCCCACAGTTGTCTGATAGTGACAATCGGTTCGGTGCTTCCTCGATGTCCAAGATTGTGCAGACGTTTCTTCCTCGACTCCGAACGACCGTTCCCTCCTCCACCCCTCCCCCTCCTCGCGGGCGACCGAGTAGGAGTCCGATTAGCGATGGAGGAAAAGAAGCAGGAGGAAGGGGGAGGGGAGAGGGGGGAGGGAGAGGAAGGGAGGAGAGGGAGGGGAGGACAGGAGAGCCCAGAATCGAATGGAGAAGTCGGATCGGCGATCGAAATGGATCGCACCGGCGGAAATCGGAAGCCAAGTCGGGAATCGAACGCCACCTCGGAGTCCGAAGCCGAATCGGATCGGGACAGAACTGGAATCGATCGAAATCGAATCGAATCGAATCGGAGGAGTCGACATGACCCCTGGGGGAGGGCAGGGGAGGTGGAGGGGAGGAGGGCGACCACCGCCCCGCCCCCTCGCAAACATCGTGACCCCGTCGCCTCTCGAGGCCCTCCGGAGCAGCCCCACGCCAGGAGGCTCGGGCCCGCGGAGGCCCCCAGGAGGCCTGGACCGAGAACTCCACGAGGCCTGCAAGGTTCGTTGGGACCCGCTGGGATCCCTTGACAATTCAACAAACAACTAGGATCGTCAGGATCCGAGTACTCGACTCAGCATCATCACTTCATCCGGATCAACACGAACCGAACCAGAATCATCAGGATCACTACTATGTCCGATGGAGACAACTGCCGGTCCAAGAATCACCGTCGCGAGCCCCCCAGCAAAACCTGGCCAACCCTTTCAGGCAGAAGACATGCGCAATCGAAGCGAGCCCGCACGCTCGGACTGAATCTCCTGGAAGCAGCGCTAGCAGCGGAATGATCGCCCAACGCGAATTGGCGAAAATCCTGGCCAGCACGCTCGGAGTGACCTTCCTGGAAGCAGCGCGGGCCGCGGAACAGTACTAAGGGGTTGGCTTGCCGCCCATGTGAGCCGGCATGCTCGGAGTGACCTTCCTGCGAGCAACGCTGGTAATTTCATGCGCGGCTCCTGCGGGCACGCACGCTTGGCGTGCGCGTCTTGGCAACAACGCTGACAGCGTGGAGCGCAGTAGAAACAAGCCGGCACGTTCACGAAGCTCAGCAGGACACACGAGGACATACTAAAACAAGTCATCCTCGGAGGTGTGCGTGCGACCCGACCAGATAGTACAGCCATATTGTAGCGTATCGTTTCCCGAGCGGTCAGGCCAAAAAGAGCCCGCCACGGAGCTTCTACTGTAAGAGTTCTCAGTTTCAGTTCGGTTTCGGACCCCCGCGATTTTGAGACTTCTGCTGATGCGTCCCTCCTCCTCCACGCTCGGTTTCGGCGGCCATCCTCCCTGCTCGGTCTGCCTTCCTCTTCCTCCTCCTCCCCCTCCTCACCATCATCATCAGAAGCATCAGCATCAGCATCAGCATCAGCATCAGCATCAGCATCAGCATCAGCATCATCATCATCATCATCATCATCATCATCATCATCATCATCATCAGCAGCAGCGTCACCAGCATCACCATCCACCTCATCCACCTCATCCTCCTCATCCCCCCTCTCTTTCTCCTCATATCATTCCTCCTCATCCTCCCTCTTCTCCTCATCCTCATCCTGATCGTCTTGTTCAGATCCCTCCTCCTCCTCCTCCTCCCACTCCT